AACTTAAGAAGTGGTTCATGGACAATAAATTATTTATAAATTGGAATAAAATGAAATTCATAATTTTTGGTAACAGGAAGACAGATGATTCTGTTACATTGTCCATAGATGGTACTTCAGTTGAAAGAGTAAATTAAGTAAGATTTTTAGCGGTCATCTTGGATCATAAACTTAAGTGGAAACCCCATATAAAATATATAAAACAAAAACTGTGTAAAAGTATTGGACTTTTAAATAAAGTAACAAGTATTTTGGGGTCATCAACACTTCATATATTATATTATTCATTTATTGTTCCATACTTGACTTATTGTATAGAGGTTTGGGGCAACACATATACAACAAACACTAATCCTTTGTTTTTATTACAGAAGAAAGCTATGAAAATTATATATAAAGTAGATGCTAGAGAACATACCAATAGACAGAGGTTCTCTGCGTATATTAGATTTTATATTTATGAATGTTCTGTGTGATTAGCCAGAGAAATATCTTATCAGATCAAGCTTTATTTAGTCATTTAATGATGTTTAGTGATCAAAACAGCTCCTGCTGAACCATCACGCACACGAGGACCTCTGAACCAGAATGGTTTGAGCTGAATGCCCCGATGTCTTTAGCTGTTTTACAGCAGATATAAAACCAGAAGCCAGACAACCAAGGATAAAATTCAAATTCTAGTTACAATATTTTAGTACCACAGATAAAAAGGAAATAATCATAACCATGGGTTAATATGTATTGCATGATCCAGTGCATTCCATATTGATACAGTGCTGTGAGTATTCACAAATATATATAATCCATGTTTGAACAGTCGAACACGGCGGTGGTAGTGTGATGGTCTGGAGCTGCGTTGCTGCTTCAGGACCATTTGCGGCATGGAACCATGAATTCTCTCTAGGAAAACCCTGTAGGAGGATGTCTGACCTTTGACCTTAAGCTATTCCAGCTGGAAAACCCTCCAGTATAGCTGAATTTAAACAGTTCTGCTAATCAAAGTGGGACAAAAATCATGACTAAATTTATATTAACATATAAGGTATTAATACATGAAATCAACATTTGAAATCTTCAGTTTTCTTTGGTTATTTTCATCTGATGCTGGGATTCATTTTGCTGATGTGAAAATGTTCAACAGAAAAAAAAACACAAATCAATAAGGAGGCATTTTTTACAACTATTTTCTAAATTATTAAATAAAGCTTTCCTTTTTTCTGTGTGTGCAGGGGTGTATCGCGCTCACTCAGCCACCATTCAACCATCTGATCCATCCCGCGTTTGACTGCAGAATGAATCCTTTTACAGTAAAAACAGACCTCATCGGATAAGTTGTAATGCAAAAATCTGATTGATCAGATGCTCCTTTTTTTGGTTGACATTTCTTGAGTAAGCAGCCTTCTGTAAAAGTGCTTCGTCATGAACTGTTTGTGTTTGAGACCAACTGACTCCACCACGGTAAGACTTTACAGCAGCGCCTTAAACGAGCTATTTGCTGCAACGAAAGAGAACTTTATGTCTAACCAGTAAAATGAGACGAGACTGACACAACTTCAACTTCTGCATCTTTTCCTGCAAATATCTTCCGCTTGGCCTGTACTTGCTGAGAGGCAGAATTGGATTTATTTTATGCACTCACCAAATAAACTGCTAAATACATTTAGCTGCTTCAATTCAATCTGTGTGAGAGCTTCTGTCTGTCCTTTCCGACTGGACCTGAACTCTGTCCAACTACAGTGAAAGAGGTGTCCTGTTTCTCCAGCCGCATCAATCACCACGGATTGTTACTGGGTGTGAGGGAAAAGTTTGTTCTTATCAAAGTTCTTCAAGAGGAACAAGCCAAGAGTCCTAACTCTAGAAGAAATATCCTCATCCTTCTAAATGGGTAGGAGTGAGAGAGAAATCACACCATCAAACAAACCAACATTTAAAGACGTTTACCCTCCAATAGTTTTACCATTCTCAAAACAGAACAGATAGTCATGCAAAGAAAAAGAAGCGATTCTTACTTCTTATTTCTCAGCCGCTACAACTCCAAACGTTCTCTTTTTTTTTTTTCAATTCAAAGAGGGAGTAAGGTCCATCCAGGAGGAGTGGAGAACAATCTAATCAAAGACAAACATCTGAGAAGAACCTAGTGGGACAAAGAAAAGACCTGCTCAGACTGATTGATGTGATGAATGTGCTCATAATTACAGGAGTGAATGAAGGTGGGAGGAGGAGGGAGGTCGGCCATGCTGCTATTATGAGCACTTTATTTTCAATTAAGCCTTCTTGCATCCACGGTAAGCTCACTTAAATTTTTGATGATGCAGGGACTTCTCAGACAGGAAAATTATGTGGTTAGCAAACGTCTGCAGCTTTGGTCATTTAGGGGAAGATGCCCTTTTAACAACTTTTAAGATGAGAAAATCTAGAAAAGGTTGAATCAGTGTAAATCTTTTCATGGTAGTTTAGTTGTTTTGGTTCAATCTAACTTCGTAGTCTCACATAATCTCACTGACTCAGCTATGACGTTTAACTCGGTATCTGTAAAACGGACTTAAGGTGGAGCCACTTTTGTGTGTTTGTGAATGTTGAGCTGAGGCAGCCATCTTGGATTAGACTGACTCCAAATGTTAATCAGTTTTAGACGTACATCCAGTTATTACTTTGTAACATTTTGATAATTTGTCCCGTGGTATGTGGCAGACATTTTGCTAACACACATGCACTGTTTGACAGAACCAGAGTTTAGAATAATAGTTTATAACTGAGCTTAGCGCTGTAGCTGGGGGAGGGGTTCCAGTACCTACTGGCAGTCAGGCCACCTCTGGGGAGCACTCCTTGCAAAAAGGTGGAGGTAGCGGTCCTGCTGCTGGATTGTGCCCTCCTACAGCCACCTCCATGTCTCTTGGTGTACGGGCCGGTCTCTTGAGAACACCTTCATGCTCTGGACACTACACTGACAGAAAACCTTCTTGCCACAGTTCACATTGATGACCCATCCTGGATGAGCCGCACTACCTGAGCCACTTGTGTAGGTTGAAGACGTCGTCTCTTGCTACCACTAGAGTGAAAGCACTACCAGCTTTCCAAAGTGACCAAAACATCAGCTATGAAAGCCAAACTGAGAAGTGGTCTGTGGTCACCACCTGCAGAACCGCTCCTTTAATAAGGAACTTGTAGGTCAAAATGTGTATCAACGTTTCTATTCACTTAGTCCCTGTCCCAACCATGCTTGAATTTAATTATTTAGAAAATAAACACATGGAACAGGCCTGGACAAAAAGGATGGTACACCTTGTTGCACATCCTTTTGAAGGAATCACTGCAATCAAACGATTCTGTAAACTGAAATACCTGCAGTGATTGCTGAAAACCGCTCCAATTGTCTCAGGTTTGAAAGGTGCCTTTTTCAGACACCATGTTTAAGCTCCTACCAAAGATGCTCAATAGGAGAGGTCAGGGCTCATACAAAGCCACTTTAGAATAGTCCAATGTTTTCCTCTTAGACATAACTGGGTGTCTTTTGTCTTTCTTGGGGGTCATTGTCCCTATTGCAAGACCCATGTCCCGTGACTGAGACCAAGCTTTCTGACACTGGCCAGCACATTTCTCTCTAGAATCCCTTATTAGTCTAGAGATTTCATTGTACCCTGCACAGATTCAAGACAGCCTGTGCCAGAGGCAGCAAAGCAGCCCCAGAACATAACACAGCCTCCTCCATGTTTCACAGCAGAGACAATGTTCTTTTCTCGATACGCTTCATTTTCTCGTTTGTGAACACGAGCTGATGTGGCTTGGCAAAAGTTCTATTTTTGTCCCATCTTCTTCCAGAAGATTTGTGGAATGTCAACAAGTAGTTTGGCATTTTCCAGTGTGGCTTTTTAATAGTTTGTTTCAACAATGGCGTCCTCCTTGATCGTCTACCCTTTGGTTCAAAAAATGATGGATGGTGCGATCTGACACTGGTGTTCATTGAGCTTGAAGTTTACCTTGGATCTCTTTAGAAGTTTTTCTGGACTCTTTTTAACTATTTGAATTATTCATCTCTTTGATTCCATCAATGTTCCTCCTGCAGCCATGTCCAGGGAGGTTAGGCCCATGGACCTGAAATTTCTGAATATATGCAACTGTAGTCACAGGAACGTCTAGCTGTTTGGAGATGGTCTTAGTCTTTACCTTTAACATTATTTATTTTTCTTTCTAACCTTCTGAGACAACCCTTTACTTCATTTCCTCTGGTCCATGTTGAGTGTGGTACACACCATGTCACCAAACAACAGTGACTACCAGGAGCCCTGTATATAGGCCCACTGACTGATCAAAGAATTTTAGACACCTGTGATGATAATTAGTGGACACACCTTGAATTAACAAGTCCCTTTGGTCACATAATGTTCAGTCTTTTCTAGGGGTATCATAATTTTTGTCCAGGCCTGTTCCATGACTTTTTTTTTTATATAATTCAGTTGAAGCATGGTTGTCGAGTTAATCCCTCTGGGATTAATACAGTATTTTTGAAATGAATTGAAAAGCAATGTCTGACTTTCTTTGGTTGAATTTTCATTTGCTACTTTTGTCAGATTCAAGTTATTTCTGTGACCATTGTAGGTTTTTCTTTCATTGACCGAAGGGTACCAACAATTTCATCCACATCTGTAATTTCAGAATAAAAATTCAATGTAAAAAAAAAATAGTCATGCTGGTGAGACTATTTCTTCCATATGGTTGTGTGTTTAACTGTTTGAGGTCTTACAAAGAATATCTGGGAAGCTACGGTCAGGTTTCACCTTTTATCGATTTGCCTAAGGATCTACTTTACACGTTAATCTGATCCTTCCAGGTCCAAGAAAGCTTTTAAACGATGTAAAGAAGTAAGCATAATCGGGGTGGGGGGATGGGGACACAGCAGTAAATGTTTTAATTTCACAGAATGATTCCTTCTCTACCAAGAGCATCTGGATTTTACAAACATGCTGCATGAAAAAAACAAATCTATGATAAAAGGCAAACACTAAAGATGAGAAATTCCTTTTATTGGTGATGAAATTCCTCCATTCTTGTCTGAAGGTTGAAAACATCACCATGTACTCTGTTCATCTGTTGTCTTTACATTTACACCAAAAGCCGGTGAGGAAGTGAAAACAACTCATATCTTTAAAACTAGAACTTCACTCACACTACTGATAAAGATGTAATGCTTTTAATGTCACTTTGACGAAACAGAAAAAGCATCACCATCGTAACAAGTGTATGATGGAATTTAACATGTCTTATTTTGAAGTCCTTGTCATACAAACGCTTCTACATCTGTTCATCAGTGACGCTTTAACTTAAAAAAAAATTCTTTAGTTCCGTCAGGCTAAATAAAATTCAAAAGCTTAGACACAGTTCTTCCCTGTTGACTAACAATTAACCTTTTATTTTGACTAGGATTCATTTATTAGCAGCCTAATAAATATATAGAGATGAAATTGAGGAATGTACAAGTTCCATCTGAAGACTTCCTGTAAATGTGGCACAGGAGCAGCAGCTGGAGGCTTCACACGTGGCCTTGCTGGTGACGTCATTCACGTTTCTTTAGGATGACGTTTGCACTTTAAATTTCTGTAATCTGGTATTATGGGATGCTGGTGACTGCAGATGGGGATCAAAAGAGTTTGATCATGCTTTCTCGGGACTTTCCCACTCCGACCCATTTCACTGAAGAAAAAAAAACAAGAAAGACGGGTGAATGGCAGGTTTGGCAAAGCCCAGGCGAGTGCTGGCTCAAGTTTCCTCCATTACAGTAAACGATCTCTTTGCGAACCTGGCACTTGCAGGAAGTCCTCAATGAACCGAATGTAATTTTGTGCCTGTGAAGGGAGCTCTTCGAAGCTCCTGGCCGACTCCGTGCTGCAGCGCCAGCCGGGCAACGTCTGGTAATCCACCGACACACGCGTCAAAACGTCCATGTTGGCTGCAACAGGAAGAGAAGTCTTCTGATTTATCTTAAAACTTCCTTCTGCTTCCAAACAGCTAAAGGAAACGTGTACCAAGACAAGTCCAGAATATTCATTCATCCACCAGAAACAAAACCACCTGTGTGAAGAAGCTGTTTAACAAGCAGCTCCGCTGCCAAACTCCAAAGTAGAGACAGAGGGCTGATTTCATCACATTCTGCTGCGTTAGCTGAAGATGTTAAATGCTTTCTTTTGGCTCTACACACAGAGTGCTCCAGAAGATAAACAAACCTTCCAACGATGCAAAAAAAAAAAACATTCCAAAAAGCTGAAGGTGAAGTTTTTGTTGAGGAAAGCTGAGCCACATGAAACTAAGGCGGACTGAATCTAAACAGCCACAGTCTTTATCCTGCTCTCTCAGACATGTCTACTGATGTAAATGCTGAATATCGATAGAAAATTATAGAAAAATAAATTATAATGAGAAATCACAAAACTATCCATGCGTCCTTCCCTTTAGCCTGAGGCTGGGAGACATACGGAAACACTTTAACACCACGGTATAAATATGACATGGTCACATGGGGCGGACAACGAGGTTCGATCATCAGTGATGGTCCGGGCCCGATATCCGTTATGAATCGTTCCTCAAAACCATCATTTGTTCAGTTCAGCCTCATTTTGATCAAAAACTCATCCGACTCATAGCAAATACATTGTCTGACTATTTCATTTGAGAAAGTTTCGGGACATTCTGTCACCAGCCCGAGATTAAAACAAAAAAAAAAAAAAAAAAGAAACGCAAAAAACCTGATTTGGTGTAAACAGCAGACGTATTATTTTAAACAGGTACAAACTATATTTACATTTGCTTTAGAAGACCATTAAAGCAGGAACAACCCACCTGGGAAACTCGGCAGAGGTTCTCCATCGACCTTATAGGCCACACCCACTTTAATCTCAGGCAGCGTGTCTAAAATATCCAGCTTGGTCAGGGCGATTCTAGAGACAGTAAATAAAGAGCATGACAAAGCTAAATGCCATTAAAACCATTAGACTGCTGGTATTAATGTGAAAAGGTTCCTCACGCAGAGAAGCCGTTGACCATGTGGGCGTATCGGACCAAGATCAGGTCCAACCAACCACATCGTCTCCTTCGGCCCGTCGTCACACCAAACTCTCTTCCTCTGCTTTGCAACAGCTCCCCGATTTCCTGCAAAAACACGCAACAAATTAAACGATTTAACCATTTTCTTCCTGGTTTGTGACTATTGTGTCTTTAAGCTCACGCTGTCCTGCTCTGTGGGGAAAGCACCAACGCCCACTCGGGTTGTGTAGGCTTTGACCACGCCGTACACTCGGCCAACGTAGGACGGGGGAACCCCGAGTCCAGTGCAGACGCCACCCACGGTGCAGTTAGAGGACGTCACAAAAGGATATGTCCCTGAGCACAAGTGTGTAAGTCACTGAGGGGGAAAGCAGCTCTCCGTCATATTAATTAGTGTCATCCTAATCTGGTTACTCACCAAAGTCAATGTCCAGCAGAGCAGCATTGGCCCCCTCCACCAGGATCTTCTTACTGGGTCCAGTCAGTGCTTTGTGCATGAAGTACACACCATCTGTCACCAGAGGGCGCAGCCTCTCTGCAAACTCCTAAAAGTAATAAATCACACGAAGAACTCTATCCCGTAAACTCCAGGTGATTTTATTAGTAAACAGGATAAAGTGATTAGCATCAGAATACATTTTAAACCCATATCAGCTAAAACGTCCCACGTGTCCCGCCACACTCACCTTCAGCTGCTTCAGCTCCCCGTCGACGTCCACGTTCAGGTTTGGATACATCGTTAGGAAATGTTCGGCCAGCATTCGGAATCTGTAAATCCCAACCGGGACAGAGAATGAGAAACTTCCCACATCCTCAACCCATCTGGAACTCCCTCACAACAAAAAAGGTGAGCAGCCATTATAGAGGAGTGTCGCCACCTGCTGGCAGCCAGACAAACAGACAACAACTTAAACTACTTCTATACTGGATTTATTTCCCCATCGGATAGGAAAAAAGGTTTAATTTGAATTTTTTGAAAAACATTCCCATCCATTTAAAGTCAGCTTGTTTTCCTTGCTCCTTAGCTGCTTTCGCTACGTTCAGCTCTGCAAAAAACTTCTAAGCTTTTACTTTTCAGGGTTTTTTCTAAGGAGGTTCAAGACTACCGTTATCACATCCAAACATCAAACTGGGAGTCAAATCAGTAAATAATAACAGATAACGGAGGAAACTGTGTCTCACACTCATAAAAAAAAAGAAGAAAAATCTTCTTACTTGTCCTCAAAAACCTTGAAATCTGAGACAAGGTCACAGACTCGCAGGCCGTTGCGAGCAGCTTTGGAGGAGTAGGCCGGGCCGATGCCTTTCTTCGTGGTTCCTAAACTGAAGAACAAATAAAAACAGATTATTGACCCACCTTTATCGTCGTCTGCTGCTCTAAATGTTAAGTAAAATTTACTTTTTCCCTTCTTGCTGCTGCCTCTGCTGCTCCTGGATCCCATCAACAGCTTGATGGAAGTTGAACACTAGAGGACACAACAAAGCGTGAGTGAAACGTCTGTTATGAATACAACATTCAGGCTGAAGAAACATCATCCACTGACCGATGTGGGCGCGATCAGAAATCTTTAATCTCTCCTCCCATCCTTGAAGTCCTGCAGGAAATACAGAAAACAACTAATGTCACTCATCTGCAACTAAATCTACAGGCTGTGCATCTTTTATGTTTAATTCAAAATGTTTAAAATATACCCATTGCTGGCAAAAGTACTGACGTTCTTTACTTAAGTAGAAGTACAGACACCTGTGTAAAAAACTACTCGGGTAAAAGAGAAAGTACTGAGCGAATTTATTTACTTAAGTAAAAAATACAGGCTCTAAAAAGTACTTAAGAAAAAAAAAATAAACCTTAAATAACAGAAAAAAAGCATCTGGTTTGGATTGAGAAATTTATTTCAACAACACAACAATAATTCCTGGAGATATGATGCTATTAATGTTATTGCTATCACCACATATGGGAGCATTTAACTGAAATAGTTTTTTCGGCAAACTTGACTTAAAACATTGTGATCATTAAATCAAGTTCACTTCAAATCTTCAAGTATTATTTCCTTATGAGAGGAATTGACTGAAACAAAATAAACTTTTTATTGAGCTTCATCAGAAGGCGGTTTTCAAAGTTCTTTGCATCAACACGTGCCCTTTTGGGTCTGAAAATGAGTCCTGCAGTGCTGAAAAGCCTCTCGCAAGCAGCTGAGGCAGGCAGAGGTGTGTTCAGCTTTTACCTTTGCCTTTGTTCAGGTTTTTTTCCGCCTCCTCAAACAGACCCGGTAGGTGGATCACCACTCCGTTGCCTGAAATGTCAAATCACTTCAACAATCAGAGGAAACCATCAAATTCCTTAAACAAGTGTAACAAAGGGGGGAAGTACACGATAGGGAAAAACAAATATCCACTATGTGTTTCTGGCACAACTAGACCAGGTTGTCCTGTTACTGAACTGTACTTATTGACTGTTTCTATCAGTAACAACGTTTACGATCACTTCCCAACAAAACCAGATAAGGCTGTTCTGATGATCGCTCTGATAAAGGCCCATGTTGGTTTTATTGTTTGGCCCTTTTATCATCCTGATATCCAACACCTGTCTGCAAAATAAAAGGTGTTTGATCTCATACCGATGAAGGAGGTCGCCTTCTTGTTGAGGACCCCACTGGGCAGGAGGTGGAAGTCGTACTCCACTGAGTCCACCACCACGGTGTGTCCTGCGTTGTTGCCTCCCTGAAACAAAACACATGAGATTCAGCAGCTAAACGAGCCGTTTCTGCAGGCAGCAAGATAACAGCTACATTAGATTGCTGCCGATTGTCACAACAGGAACGGGCAGCCGGGTGATAGCCACAGCTCGATGGCTTACATAACACACAGCCGGTGTCAGCTCATTTGCTGGATTGGAAATACTTTCCCTGCCATGTCTGTTACACCAAAACAAAGCAGAAATTTGTTCTAAAATCATTGCTAACATGAAAGTAGCACTTCCACATCGGGGTGGTCAGAGATACAGAGAGGAGGCTGTAAACACCGGGTAATACGCAGAAACGCTGTCGTTCGTTTAGTCTAAAGAAAACCGCGGAAATGTGGACAAAGCGAATTAAAACATGTGAAATGTGTTTGACTACCTGACACCTGCAGACAATATCCGCATCCATGGCGAGCAAGTCAACAACTTTCCCTTTCCCCTCGTCGCCCCACTGAGCTCCGAGCACTACGGTCACTTTGTTCTGGGGCTCCTTCGGCGCGCGGAGTGACAAGTCCGGTTCGACGCTGTCCCTGGGTCGTTTAACGACCGGCTCCCCGTTCAAGGAGACGGCCTCCTGGCCGTTACGGTTAGCCATGATGCTGTCGGATGCCATGCTGCTTTCTTCCTTATTACGTTCACCGGAAAATCGTTTTACCGCGTTCTTCGTTCCAAGGAAGTGTTGCCCTCCTCGTCGCCACCAGATGACGCTATCCTGCCACGACAAACATACCTTTAATTTGTATCAACCTTTATTGATAATTGTTTATGGACAAACGAAGAACAGATTAAATAAACTAAATTCATAAATAAAAATGTAACATATAATATAATATAATATAATATAATATAATATAATATAATATAATATAATATAATATAATATTTAAACATATATTTATGAATAAAACCCGATTTGTGAAAGCATAAAAAACAACATAAAAAAGAAAACAATAAAAGTAATAGTAATAAAATAACTGTAAAATGGTTTTATTAACATCTTTTATTTAAAAGGCAGCAAACGAATAAAACTAATTAAAAAAGAAAAATACATATGTAACACAACAAATTATACTAATAAATCACCATACAACATACATAATTTATTTTTAAACTGTTGCAGATTTTTAGACACATTAGGATAAAGATTAAATACTGAAAGGAACACAAAAATAAATGTTCATGTTATAAAATGCCTTCACACCTTTCTTTTTGACAGAACCTGGAAAGATTTTAAGTCTGCAGAGAACATTTTAAATTCTATAATTACGGGGAAAAGGCTGTAAAATTCTAATGATAATGAAAGTAAGATCACTGTGAGAATCAATCCTATCATTAAAATGAATCACGTTCTCAAAACAAATTCATTTTCCTGCATATTTCAGAGGTTTCTTTGCTTCAACACACTTTAATTTAACCAGTGGGAGATAAACAGGCTTCTGCAGAGCTTAATATGTTGCTTAATCATCAAATCAGATGTGTTGGAGCAGAGAAACAACTAAAACATGCTGGATAGTGGCCTCCCAAAACCAGGATAGGACACTTTATGAGTCAGATGGTTCAGCATCTAGATGAGATGTCTCATAGTTTGTTAAACTTATTTTGGTTGATAGTTTCTTAATGTTTTTTTTCATAATGGAAATCAAAATAATCCAAAAACCTTAAAACTCAGGGTATCACTAATTTGATGCATAAACTGTATCCATGGTGACCTCAATGAGGTCCTCAGTGCTGCAGTGACATTTCTTTTGAATGATCTTACATATTTTGTACAGTTTATGCATCAAATTGGTGACATTTTGCAATATGTATTTGAGCATCCTTCAGTATTTCTTCAAGAAAAGTCCTGGTTTTAAGGTTGTTGGATTATTTTGATTACTAGTTTTCCATTATGAAAAAAACACGTTAAGAAATTATCAACCAATATAACTTATTTTAGTAATAGTTGAGTTTAATAAACTATGAGATATGTAAGATCATTCAAAAGAAATGTCAGTGCAACAGCCAGTGGCTCATTGAGGTCACCATGGATACACGCCTAGATCCCTTTATAAAACAAAGAAAAGCAGATATGATCAGTAACTAAAAACGCATCTCAGAGCAGACTTTATGTTTTATGTTTTTACAGAACTTGATCAAACGGTTTGAAAACACCCGTCAGTTTCAGTTTTAAGCTCAAATATGACCGAAGAGAAGTTGGTCAGACTCTCTGCTGCACTTATTAATGTTGTGACATTTTAATATTTATTACGGGAAGCCCTTATTTAAACACAACCACCTTCATAAATCCATTGTTGGGTCAGGACACTTCCTTATTCTGATTTATCACCACATCATTTACAACTAATAATAATGTCACTTGGGTACATGTCTAGGTCACCTTTATTTTACATGTAAACATTAACCTTTTAAATGCATTCATGCAATAATAACCATCATTATAGCGAGTTACAGCCGCTTTCGCTGTTCTGATGCATCACAACCTGCAAAACTCACAGTCTTAGTCACTGATTGAGTCTTATCTCCAGTAGTCATTGGACAAGAGGCGGGGGACACCCTGGACAGGGACACACAACCACTCACTCACTGACTTGAGTCACCAATTAACCCAAGCGACTGTAGGGGAGAACAAGGAAACTCCACGCTGACAGGCTGCAGCCAGGATTTGAACCTGCAACCTTCTCACTGTAATGGTGGCACCATGCAGCCCTCTTAATAATATTCAATAACTAATAGCTGTTATTCATGCTTCAGAGACATTTCTCATCTATAAATGTGGAATTTGACAAACAACAGACAGACAAGCCAACAAATTCTTCTTTTATTTACTGAAACAGACACATAAAACAGTGCATTTATTGCCAAAGTATAAAATGCTCTCCACTTTCATTTTGAAACTATTATTATTTTAGCTCAGAGGGACAAACGCAGCAGTGGCCTACAGAACTGACAGGCAGATGTTTGAAATCACTGGCTGTCAATTCATAGGTCATCACCTTGTGCCCCATCAGTCCTCAGAGGCTTTAACATGTGAACCTTCTGACCTTCTGGAGGTCCGCGACCCCCTCTAGAACACTCTGTTGAGTTTGGTCGGCCTCTGCAGGTAACAGCACCTCCACTGGAACAGACACCTTCCACATGGAGTTGCTGTTACATCCAGCGAGCACCAGAACCACAACACTCCTCCGTCGTCATCCGGAAGCGGTCCGGTTTCCTTCAGGAGACACAGAAAACACAGAGGTCAGCTCAAGATCTCCACTCTCAGGGAGCTGCTTCAGACTGTGAGGAGTCTCCTGTTTCTAGTGACTTTGGCCTGACAGCTTCCTCCTCCCAGTTTTTACAGCCCGGAGTATAAAGAGCATCAGTGCTCCTCCAACAGCACGGCCAAAGGGCCAAGGCCCGTGTAGATAACGCCGATTTTATGGCCGCTGCCAACATGAGGGCAAGCGTATGGGTGTGTCTGACCTGTGTACCTGCAGGCCCTCGGCTTCCTGCTCACACTTTGTCTTCACAATCAGGAACAGGGATCGGCTTCAGGATCTATCCGTGACTTCCCAAAGTCTCTTTTTATCTCAAATGTTCAGTAAATGAAGGAAAATCTGAGAAATGGTTTAAAGTTAAGCTGTCAGGGTCTTGCACTTTTATTGTTGCACCAGTTTTCACTAATGTAGGCCAAAATAAAATGAATCACTAATTACATTACGTTTGTTAAATTTAACAATAAATAGAGAAGCTTTCCTCAGGGTATCAAAGCAAATGAGTTCAAAGTTGTATTTTACCTTCTGAAATGTTCGTTTGCCCTCACCTTCTCGTTCTTGGGCCGGTGGACTTCACAGACGAGGCCAAACGTTTGGAGAGGCGGACGGGTGTCGTGACACAGGAAGCCCGGGACGACCTCCTTCCCAAGGCGTTCAGATGGAAGTTGGGATGAGCTTCGACTCATCAAACAGAACCGGGACCGGTGAAAATGTTGTCACAGCGGGCCAACGAGGAGCATTTCTTTGGTGTAAATGCGAGGAAAAGCAGCGAGGCGATGGCAGCGAGGCGCAGTTTAAGAGGGCAGGAGTTGGTGGAAGGTTAATTATTACAGCTGTGGTGAATGTTTAACCGGGTCGGCCTGCGCCCTGCCCCTCAGTCCAACATCCTGATTCTACTTTGACACTGAGGGTGGGGCCCGCCCGAGTCAGGCACATCCATTCTGTCCCTCCGCAGAAAATACGAGTTAAAATCTTTCAGGTTACTTCGGTTGAAAGTGTAATCACTTCAACTCAATGTGGTTTGTCAAAGTTTTCATTGCTTTTTATTACACTTTATTTCATAATTATGATGGGTTTATTGAGCCAACACACACACACACACACACACACACACACACCAAGAGGACGCAGACAGTACACTGTAGTCATGGAGCGAGGCTGAACTGCAGCACAATTAAAGGCTACAATTTTTGTCACTAAAATGTTTCAGATGAACAAACAAATGTCCATATCAGACAAAGGTAAGCTGGGTGAGAGCAAAATGCAGTTTTTAAAAAGAGTTTTCCACCATGAAAGGTCAAAGTTCAGACATATTTCTTCAGGATTTTCAGCAAGAGAACAGAATTTGTGCTTCCAATAGTTACAGCAGGTGGTCCAGGTCCTGAATCAGTAAATCAGCCCCAAACCATCACACTACCACTGCTGTGTCTGACTTTCTTATGTTGTTTTTATCAGATGTAGTAATAGTTTCACCCCAGATGGAATGGGACACACTTACAAAAAAAATCTTGTTAATCCCAGTTAATAAAAGATGTGGAAGAATTTGCAGTGGACTCTAGTAGGAATTAATGCCTCCTGAGTCATACTGGGGGGACTAGAAGTGTCACATCACAGCTGAGCTTCAGACAGCAGGTTTTGGAGTGTTAATTCCTGATATTTGGAGATCTTTCCTTAGACTGGATAACAACGCGACTCTACCATTGACTTGCAAAGTTGATGTTGACGTTATGCCAAAGGAGCTTCTGCTGTGTGGTGGAGTTGCTAATGCTAACTGTTAGCTTCTACTAGCCGAGACATTCTCTGCTGTTTCCTGGACGCTAAACCAACAGTGCCAAGCCTTCCCCATCGTGAGTCAAGATGGGTGAGTCCATGAATGTTGTGACAGTGTGACGTAGATCTGTCAGGCTTAAATCCTAGAGTTTCACTGTCCATTTTCTAGATAGATAGATGGTCTGCATAAAAAACTCAGTGACCGATTATATTCAGAAGTAAGGTTTAAAAAATGGATTTTCAGTGTTTCACACCTTTATCGGTTACACGATCATCATTTGAAAACCGCATTTTACAATTGCTCAGATTATCTTTGTCTGATATTTAATTTTATTTCCTGATATGAAACAAACAGAAAAGAACAGAAGGAGGTGGCTACTTTTCACAGCACCATACTTTATTTCCATGAGCTCCTCCTTTGAGTCCAACAGGGTAAGAACTCATCATCATACGTGGATCTCCTTTGACTTTTAACACAATCCTAAACTGTAGTAATTCAGAATTGGCATCTCCCCCTCGTTTGACATCCATAAACTTGTTCTATCTTATCTCCGCGGTTCAAGGGGATTGGTACGCCTGAGAGCAGAGTCCAGCATCTGGAGGGAGAATGTGCATGCAGCACTTCTGCCCCTCAGATAGCGCGCTTTCTTGTTCCATGGAATTGACAGTGATGGGAGGTCATTATAATTTCAGATGTCATTTAGATCAGATAGCAGCAGCAATCTGCTGATGTCTCACTCACGAGTCACATGCAGTCCTTCTCAGCTTGGAGCTGAAGAATGATCTCATTTCACCAATCATTGACTCGTTTAGAGTTGTTTATTCTTTTCTGTCATTTTCTGAGCTCAGTGACTAATTGGAGCTCAAAGCTATATGCATCTTTGTTCTGTTGGTCCACTTTGGGTGGATGGTGTTGACCATTTTTGGAGTTCTTATTCGAGATTTCCTTTTCATTGCTTCTGGACTTTGGTTTGTGTGCTAAATGTGACTGAGGTCAAAAGAAAAAGCAGTAATGTGTTCTAAAGATCTTTACAATCAATTATCAACTCTTTGTAAGAGAAACTGTTCACTAATTTAGTGTAAAATCCAGTTTTATTACTGGCAGTTCTCTGGTAAAATAATCAAAACTTTACCAGGTTTTAACTTCATACAAGTCTGACCTCAAGCATCCATAAAACACAAGATTTCACCATGTAGGATCAGAAAAGGAGGAGCCCAAATCACCAGACTTCCACCACCGTGCTGACAGCTGGTTTGAGCTGTTTGGTTTTCTCCGAACGTGAAGCTGTGCATTCTTGGTAAAACATTCCATTCAAAACCAGTTTTACAAACGTTGCTTTTATTGGGTTCAAACTTTTCTAATGTGAACTTTGACCTGTAACTTGACAAGTGAAGCCTCAACAGTTTGAGATGATTTGATTTCCTGAGTATTGCATGATCGGATGTTGGGTTGACTTTACTGAAACATCAGAGCCTGGGAAGATTGACAGATGTCTGAAATGTTTCCTTTTGTGAAAATGTTTGGAAATTTCCAGATTGATTAGCAGCACCCCTCGCTTCTGTAAAACAATATCTGATGTATCTTGTATTGTTTAAAAAAACATCTGTTTGTCAACTAACATGATTACAGCAGATTACAAAACTAAGTTTTACATTCTGCCTCAAATCTGTAAGATTTGAAAGTTATTTCTGTTGTTTTTGTGATCAAAACATTTTGAGGATATGACTTTATGATGACCTTTGGAATTTTATTAGGGACATAAAACATCAGCTCAGGAGGAAAGGATCATGTCTGATGAACAGATTTTCTGCTGATCACTAAATAACAGGAAAAAAACTGAGAAATGTCGCCCTCTGCTGTTAACGAGCGTGACCTGCAGGGAGGAATTTGAAAAACATCCTGTAATTATGAAAGACTCTTCCATGTGATAAAATAAATGTGGAAATAAAACAGACATTTATTAACCAAGAGAATAAATTATTAAATATATGAATAAATAGTATGAAAACATTTAGAAATAGAAATGCTGTAATGACACAATTTCTCATTTTGGCTGGAAGAGGCCTAGATAAGTGGCATCTTCACTTATAAACTGGTTATTTAACAAGATCAGAGGAAATATTTAAAAGGGAATGTTTTATTATTTCAATCAACAAGAACATCAATTAACCAGAAATTACAGGATCACAATAAAACAGTTTGAGATTATATTCATCCCAAACTTGCATGGAGAAAAAAGTAAAAGTACTAAACATTCACAATCAAACCTTTTAAATTAGGGAGAAGGGGAGGAAGACAATCTTTTTAGTCCTTTGAGTGCTTGATTTGGAATAAAATGCTCATCATGAAAACAGGAAACGTCACCGATCAGTCAGACTAAAGTGTGTTTAGCAGAAGTATTTCAGGAGACAGTAAATCCAATAAACGTAGAAGCAGAAGAAAAAGGTCACTTAAACCAAACAGACAAAAAAAATAAAATAAAATAAGAGCTTGAGCTTTTATTTCTAATGTTTAGGAAATGAAAACATTCAGAAAAAAGGGCGTTACAGTGAAGATGAAGTTAAAGGACGCATGGATGGCCTCAGTTTGGAGAAATAGTTTGAATCTTACGAGACTGATGGGTTAACTGTTCGACTATCAGTTAGTTCATCAATCCTGTTGGACATTAAAAGCTAATTTCCAACTTTTACACATAAAACAACTTTGAAAAAGGCTGAAATATCCATTAAAGACTTAGTTCATGTCAGATACTAAAAGCAAGTCTAGAAACAGGAAGTGAATCAGCCGAGTTATGAATTTAGTGACAAATTAGATCCAGTAAATGAATCAGTCCTTTTGTTCCCCCGAGCTAATTTCATGTTACCGTACAAAAGTTTAATTATATAAGAATGACAAATTCAAGTTAATAACTAATGAATAAACACACCTGTTCTGATCAAGATTCCTCTATAATTGGAGTGCAGCCAGAGAAAAAACTGTTCTGAAAACTGTTCAACAATCGTTTCTTCTTCTTGATGCTGATTGATGTTCTGTCTTCTTTGTCTTCATCATCCCCCTCATCCTCGTCCTTCTCTGCCAGGATTGGCTTCTTGACCAGTTTCAGCTCTGCGGGGGTGTAGACCCTGTCTCCAATTTCCTTCATCGCCTACAACAGAATTTTAATACATCAGAGTTGTGGGGTTTCCAGGTAAGATCATCCGTCACATGACCATCAGCTCGTGTTCAAACGGCAGAGTCACCTTCTTAGTGGGCGTGCAGGACGGAAGCTGGAAGAAGGAGCTCTCAGGACTGTCAGCTGCAGGATCCTGCAGAGATGCAGCGTCTGTCGTCGCCATTTCTGCACGACTTCCACCCTGAAACAAACAAATTTAAATGAATGATTAGTGGTTATTGATTATAATGAATGATTAAAAAAATGTAAAAGAAATGCTCGGTGACTGTGTGAGCGAGCACAATGTACAGCTAAAGCTAGAGGGTGAGTTCAGAACTTCAGGGTAATTGTATTGGTCCTTCGTGGCATGAGCGAGTCACCAGGCCGGCCTACTTTGTGAAGTGCCTTGGGAGGACTCTTGTCATGATTTGGTGCTAGATAAATGAACGGAATCGAAAGGACCGTTTTCTGGGACATTTCATGGACCGACCGAGTACCTAAACTGGGGAATGAACTTGAAAAGGCTCAGAACGCTTGCTGGGCAGGACTTGTGGTTAACTCATGCTCACTGGAAAAGGACATCAGCAGACGCCAAAACAACCAGGATTGGGTAAATTAGAAGAGTTGTCGGTGAAGGGGAATGTTCCGATCTCACGTTTTTGCTCCCAGTTTGAGTCCTTTAACAGAGTCCAAATCTGATACTTCAGCAAAACATTAAAATAAGTTAATTTTTATTCATGCATTTCTTTTTTTCCTGTATTTGTCATTTCCTGAGCTTATCTTCACTTGTCACTTGTTTAGGAAGTACATGAATAGAAAACGTGTTAATATTATGACTATATTTAAAAGTAGCTTCATTTTTCACGTCGTCATGCGGCAGTATTGAGTGACGTGTTCTTGTGACGGGGCAGGAATGTGGTTCTACATCAGGAAGGCTCCCTTTTCTCTGCACTTGTAACCGTCACACAGGTGCCGCAGGACTGAGAAACCCAGAGCGGGTTTTAGTGTCGGCTAGCTCTGTTCTTGTTAGACGTGCTGCAATGAGCGAACGGAGACGATTAGAGGCCAACCGGGACTTAACGGAGACTGGTGTGTGTTCGCTGTGGCGATGCCTGAAGGGAAAGGCTGAAAGAGACAGTTTGTTTTCAAGACTGCATATCACACATCTGGTTTTTCCTCCAGGTTGAATATGCAGTATGCAAACATTACAAGTAGCTGTAGCTCTGCCTCTGCTGTACGGCCAAAAATGAGAAAAGCACCAAAATGAAAATTCCTGTTCGAAAATGAGGAAACCATGGGCGAAAAACCGAAAGAGTCTATCATGTCAATAATGAGAACAACAGCATTTATAGATACAATAACCCTTTAATTAACCCTTTAAGCGCCAAAATCGCAATTTTGGGTTTACGAGCCACAGCTGAATATAGTCCCTCGTTGAGGCACTACTTCACCCCAGAAGATAGTGGAGATGTCCAACTTCTGTCTGAGCAACACCTTTGGGTGTTTCTATTGAAATTTTCATCTGGTTGTTGAACGCTACTTTTAACGTCACACATCTGCTCTCCTGGTCCTTCGAATGGATTAAATCAAGGCGATTTTTGACAGAAAAACAGTTTTATTGTCATTAATGTTCGTGGCACTGATCAGTGACATCACTCACTGCTGAAATGTCAGGATATGCTGACGTTTTAATAAAGTCCTGAAAGGGCTGATTTTGTATGGCGACACAACGGCTGAGAGGACCGAGCCCCTCCCCCCTCCCAGACCCTGTAGTGAGAACATGGCTCCCGTTTAATCACTCCAGAGACGACGGGGACTGACCTCAGCATTAGCCTGGTTGTCCATGTTTCGACACTTCTCGTGATCACACTGGCAGTTCTCTCCACAGGTCATCTTTCCTTTGCGGCACCTGCACTGCTTGTTGCTGCAGCGGCCTTTACACGCACACTGCAGACAGAGAAGCTACTAGCATCATTCTAAACAATAGATCTGTCTGAATGTAACCCAAAACAGGAACGGATCCATGTGTGAAAAGCTGCTCTGGTTATTTACATCACACCGCCCAGACTCACCCCTGTTAATCTGGACTTCCTTGAAGCTCTGCGCACCTTCTCAGGCCGCCACTCGTCCTCCTCCTCGTCCCCCTCGTCCTCGCTAGGCGACAACAGCTCAGCGACGGTGATGGTTGTGTTCAGCTGTGCTTTAGCAGTGGTGGGGCGCCTCGGCTTCGGCTACAAAAACATCATCACAGAAAACGACGGTTGTGACAAATCCAACAGCTCATTTAATCACATCACAGTTTGGTTCTTGTTGAGATGTTTTCATGGAGACTTCAACCATCACAGCAACAAGAGTCACCTCAAAAAGACGTACAAACAGGATGCCGGGTTGTAAATAAAGTATTTAAACGTACCTTTGGAGGAACGTACTCAAATGAGTCATTAGGAGTCTTTTTATTCTCAATCGAAGGCAGAAGAACTTTCTTCTCACTCGGCAGGTGGAGCAATGAGAGTTTCTAATGCGGGGAGAAGATGATGCCGTTTACTCCCTGGAGGTGATCTCCAGATCAGATCACAACAGTGATTACCTGTCTGTACTGCTCATTCTGATCCAGGAGTTTCTGGTTCTGCTCGCTTAGTTTTTCCAGCTCTTCCTCCTGAATAAAATAATAACCTGACACCATTTCTGACCAAAAACAAGCTTAAAAGTACGTTAAAACACAAACCTGAACTTGGAGACGCCGGAGAAGCTCGCTCTGATCTTCGTCCTTCGTTTCCTCAAACGTTTTGCCCTGTAGCTGGTGTAGAAGGAACACAACCTGGAAGTCCACATGAAAACACGGAATGAGCAGAGCTGCGAGCGCTGGAGGGGTGGATGCTAAATGAGAGACGCCACCTTCTCCTGATGCCTCTGCTCCAGCTCCACCAGCTGCTGCTGGTGCTCCATGTCCATGGTGGACATCACGTTTCTCTCATCGGCCAGCATCTTCCTCAAGTCCTGAGCATTTCCTTTTTCCTGATTCAACTCACTTTCCAGCTTGGAGAACGCAGTTTTGGCTGCAACGAGCTACGATTAGAGGAGAAGAGACTAAATGAAAACCAAACTTCAAACACACACAAAAAAACACAAACTGTCGCCAAACTGTTACCTCTGACATCAGAACCCTCAGAGCACCCTTTGCTTCCACGATGCTCGTGATGCCATTGATGCGCTGCTTCAGACGCCCCTCACCGTCAGCAGCCAGCACTTTCTGCTGCAGGTCGGCGATTTGGGCGTTCCTGTTGGAGTAAAATTCCCTTAGCAAACCTCGACAGGATCACCTCCTGTACTTCAAATTTTTTATTAACTTTGGCAAACGACTTGTCTACCTAATCTTACCTGAGGCCTATTTCCGTCTCCAGGTTCTCCACCTGTTTGGCCAGAGGAGTATCCAGCGCCCCCTGCCTCTCCAGCTCAGAGATGATCAGCGTCCGGCGCTGCACGGAAACAAAAAAACAGGCTAAAACCGGTCTTATGTGCAGATTTTGCATAATAATTCTGATTCCTCACCCTGATTTTTGAAGCGGGCCTGTCCCCGGCCTCCATCTGCTGTTTGAGGTGGTTGATCTCCTCAGCCAAGACCTTCCTGTCCTCCAGCAGGTCGTTGAGGTGACGCCGGGCCTCCTCGGTGCTCGCCATCACCTCCACCTCATTCAGCAGCCACATCTGGCAGGGAAAGGACAACGTTACCGCTGACACCAAAACGACGAGGCTCATCTAGCACCGTCTGAAAGCTAAAGTGTTTTACTTTCATTCGTGCAGCAGCTCCTTCAGCCCCTCGGCTCTGAGCATCTTTACGTTTCTCTGCAACCTCGCTTCTCTTCTGCAGGGCGTCTCTCAGCCTCTTGTTAGCAGCTGCCGCCTACAGATAAACAAACCAGACTGTTTTGAATGTCACGAAGCAGTAAAACTATCTAATAAAGAAAAAAAAATCTACTTTACTTCTTCGGTTTTGCGCCGTAGGACATCGGCTTGTTTCTGGAAATCCCTCTCGAGTTTCAGCAGCTCGTACTGCCGCTTACGATCCTGCAAAGCACCAGATACGTTTGTGATTCACCAAAACAAAAACAGGTGACGTTAATTAGCCTCTCGGCAGCTGAAGAAACCTTTTCCTTCAGCTGCAGCACCTCCCGGTCCTTCTTGCTCTTCCACTGTCTGAATTTCTCGGCGTCCTCTCTCATCTGCTTCATCAGTTGTATCCGCTGAGTCTTCATCGCCTGAGGGAACAGCACCACTGGGATGTTTGCGCTTAATGCTGACGTACCCACAATCCTAAGTCTTCTACATTTCACATGGTAGATTAGTCTGAAACCATTCTTTAATGATAGAAAATCATGTAAATAAACATTTAAAATATATGGGAACAAAACGTAATACTACATGATAAAATATGTTCATTTGCAGAAAGAGACTTTAAACTCAACAGGTTTGTTTTCTTCAACATAATTTGTTTGATTTAAATGTCATTTATTAAACAAGACATCTCCTACATAACTAAGATGTGTTTAAAACCGAGCAGGGCGCTCACGAGGACTCTACATCTGTACTGACCTGTATCTCCTGCATGAGCTTCTTGACTTTCTGAACAGACGATTCTTTGAGTTTCAGCAGTTTCGACTGATCCAGAAGCTTCTTCTTCATTTCTCCAAGCTGGGATTCCAGTTCCTGCAGCCTCTTCCTCCGCTGCTCGCTGAGCCTGGATGTTCAGATGTCAGAGGGATGATGAGATGATGTCACATCAGCACAGCTGCATCACAAAGACGCTACAGCTAAAACAAACCAACGCACTTAGCCTGGCTGGTGCCTTTTTTTGCAGACTGAAGAGCCAAAATCAGTTCTTCTTTTTCCTTTTGCAGTAAATCCACAGAGGACTGCAGAGCTAGCACACTTTTCTGTTAAACATATAAAAAGGTTCACATCTGTCCAACATTTGGACTAGAATAAGCTTTATTGTGGTCAGCAGCACCTTTCGGGGTCCCTCACCTGCTGCTCTGACTGCATCGGCTCCAGCTGGCTGTCGTTCTCGCACATTTTCCTCACAAAAGCTTCTTTCAAACTCAACACTTTGTTCAGCTCAATCAGCTCTTTGGAGAGCTGAGCTTGCCGCAGTGCATGATGGGCCGTGAAGCCATCTGGGGAATCCTTGAGGGAAGCAGAGTGTGTGTGTGTCTGGGATGTTAATGTCTTCAGGTTTAAACCAGGAGGAAAACTCAAAAAGAAACGCACTGATGAGGACGCAGCTGATGAGTTCTTGCTGTCGTTGCCTAACGCTTCAGGAACATCCTCTTCTGCTGCCATGGCATCGATGGAGGCAGAGATTCCTGCGCTCTCGTTCTTAGAAAACCAACACAGAATTATCAACATCAGCTCAGATAGACAGTTTGGTCCGTTATAACGTCGGGGGACGTGTATACCTTGAGTTCCAAGATTAGGTCTTGCAAGTTCTTCACGACCTCCACGTTCTCCTTCAGCTCCTGGTCCTCCAACGTCTGCAGCACCTTCTGGAGATCAACCGTGCACCTGGGGGCAAATCAGCAAAACAAACAGGAAGTAACCTCCCCGGAACAACCAAATAAAGTTTCCTCAGCAGGTGGAGTTTGTACACGTGGGACAGCGTACGCTTCAACTCAAAACAAACAGCATGATTAACACGATGCTTTTGTTGTTGAAAAGGGACTTTTATGAAGCAGGCTAATAAAAGCATAAAATAAAATTGGACCAAGCAAAACATCTTTACTTCCACACGACCCCTCAGAATAAATGTCAACAGAACAGATCAGAGACGTGAGCAGAACACGACTCATGCTTGTGAAACTCGGATTCAATCTGTTAAAAGCTTACGCTGCGTGGTGCTGAAGTTGTTCCAGTTTGCTTTGCAGTTTCTCGTTCGATTGCTCCGTCTGCAAAAATGAGTAAAAAATAAAAATAAAAAGATTAAGAATATCCACAAAAAAGTGAAATATCAGAGAAAAGGCTGGTACAAACAAAAACAGACTCATAGCGTTAATAGTTTTAACACAGAAGACCATAAAATCGAATCACCTTTATCAGAAAAAATAAAACAGTAATCTAATTTTATACACATTTATATTCAACAAGGATTTCAAAAATTGGCTGCTCTGGTCTGATTAGACACCAAACAGACAAATGGCTGTAGCAGCTTGAAGCACCTGGTTGTTTGGCCCCACCCCCTCCACGAAAACAAATGGGGCTAAAAACTAAACATAAACCTCAGATGTTGACTGTATTCACGTAGTTCTTATCTGCTGATGTACGCTAAAAATATCAGTTTTCCCTGTCGGTTTAGCTCTAGATCGTTATCTGATGCTTAAAAACATGGCTGTGTGCAGGTGAGTGGGCGGGGCTTTAAAAACGGGATCCTGCTTCATTTGTCACCAAACAGAGGCAGGTGGAGGTCTGACTCACCATGATGATCTTTTCAAACATGAGCGCCGTCTGTCCGGCCGCCTCGCTCAGCTCTCTGCTCAGCTTGCTGTTCTCGTCCTCCAGAACGCGGTTCCTCTCCAGCAGTTTAGTTACTTTCTCGGCTGACTCTGGTCTGAAACCAAGAGGAGGAGGAACAGTTACAGCCTCGAGGACGTACTCAGTAGATCGACCCATTCTCCTGGACTGTCTTACCCAGACAGCACAGGAGCTACACCTCCTCGGGCGTGGAGCAGCATCACCTGCAGCTCTTGAACCTAGAGACAAAGCAGAACCTTATAATTCAGTCGCAAAAGTTTATCCGTGAAATTCTTTGATTTCGTCCCTGGTTCAAGCCAAATCCTGTTGTTCTGGAAGTTTCAAAACACTAACGTTTCTAGATAGGATAAGAGCAAGACAGGAAACTCATTTAGGAACTTGACAACTTTCAAACTACAAACTCCCAACAGTTGGAGATCTGATAACAAAGTTTGCTCCTCCGCATCGAAGCCTTTGTACCTGCTGTTTCAGTCGGCTCATTTCAGCTGCTCTGGGGTCCACGTTAACAATCGGTTTGTTTTTGATCTTGCGAGCTCTGTCTGCGTATCTCAGCGTGTTGATGGTTTCCTCCATGTTTGAGTCTGCAGGGCTGATGCAGGCAATCATCAGTGTGTGGCTGTTGCCTCCTAAAGAGTCTGAGGAGACAAAAGCACATTTACCACACATCCTTCTTTCTTGAATCATAACCGTTTCTGGGTTTCCAGACTTTTTCTCCACTAAACAAAAAGGTGCACAAAGTAAGAATAACGCCTTGTGGTCAGATTTGAGCACTGCAGTCCTTGTGATTGGTGCATTGGTGATCATGGTTGATTGAAGCTGATGGTTTCCCCTTGCAGCATGAAAAGGCTTTATCTGACAGCACTCTGACTGAACAAGACTCATCTGTCGGGCTCAGATGGGTGGAAACCTAGTTCAGATTCAATTCAAAAATACTTTATTAATCCCAGAGGGAAATTGATTGCTGTAGTAGCTCAGAATAATAATAATAAGTCATCAAAGAGTTGTTGTATATTACAATGGCTGTTGGCAGGAAGGATCTCCAGTAGCGGTCAGTGTTGCAGCGAAACTGAAGAAGCCTCTGACTGAAGACACTCTTCCGTTGTCAGACAGTCTTGTGAAGAGAATGCTCAGGGTTGTCCATAATTTTCTTGATTCTCTGGAGAATCCGTCTTTGCATTATCTCCTCCAGTGGTCCAGATATTCAGGTACAACACTAGAACCACCTAGGATTAAGCCAACTGAATTGGAAACAGGGCAGTGATCCTAAGCACACATCAGAACTGGTTTTTGACTGGATCACTATGTTTACACTTCTATAACGGTCTTTGATTTAAAGCTGACTCTTTGGAGTAAACCAACAAGCACATCTAAATAAACGTAAATAAATGGTGCAACTTTCATTGGGGTAATTAACTAAATATTAGTGGTGAGTTCTATGTTTACCCGTAAGCCTGAATGTATAATTTTGACCCTGTGTGAGAAAAAATTAAATAAATATAAACATCCAGCACATGCAAACATTTTTTGTTTTTAAAAATTGCCCAGGAAGCTTCATTCCAGCCTGGAAAAGAAAACCATTTCATGATCAGAGTTAGTCTTCTCTTCTGATGGCAAATAAATTAACAGGGATCCACCCTCTCAGTGGAGCACAAAGGTGTAAAAGATTAATTTAATAAAAATGGAAATAACGCAACACTTCGAGTTTTCATCATCCAATCAGGGCCCACCTTGTAGCAGACGGGTGAGTTTAGAGTCTCTGTAAGGAACAAAGGTGCTTTTCTTGCTCTCGTCCCCCAAGGCGCTGATCACATTACCCAAAGACAAAAGGCCGCGATTGATGCTGATGCCTGCAAATAAACGTGGACAGCATCACAAGATGTGTGTGTGCACACACACTCACTGGCATTCAAAAGTTTTAAATTCATTCATTTCATTACAAGATTAAAGCAGATCATGGTTTGAAACAACAAAAAAAGAAAGGTAGGTACTGACACGTTGTTCAAAACACCTCTAGTAGAAAAACGTTTACCTTCTTTTAAACGGTCTCCCTCTGCTTTGGTCTTTTTCTGTCTCTCTGAACCAGCCAGATCCACAAGGTGCAGCTTTGAAATAACCGAATCCACCCTGCAACAGATGTTTGTACTGACATTAGACCTGTGGTAGAAGTTGTTGCATTTCAAGGAACTCAGAAAACAAACACTCTGATTAGTAAACTACAGCACGTTTGGTTCTAAACAGGAAACACAAATTATAAACAGCTGAGAATGAGTTTTAGGTGAAAATGAAACGTTAACCCGACTGACTTGTCGGATCCTCTGCGCTGCTCCAGAGTGATGGTGAAGATGGCGTGAGAGCGCGAGGAGGCGGCGTTCATCGCTGTGGAGCCGACGGTACGAGCAGAGTTACCAAGCTCCAGACAACTCACCATCTCAGGACCAGAAAACACCTGCCGCTCCGTCAACCCAACGATCTGAAACCCAGAATGCTTACATTACAGTGTGCTTCACTGCCTACAGACCCGTCGAAAGCTCTTGACACCATGATCTTGGATTGTAAGAACATGGAGTTGTTACCTAAAGAACAGGACATTAAATTTGAGGGGTTTTTTTGGACGGGGTGCCGCAGGGCCTCGTTTTGGGCCCTCTCCTACTTATTGTCTACATCAATGACTTTTGTCAAAATGTTTCTGATGCTATTATGCATTTTTATGTTGATTTATTATATAGTTATTTACAGTTTTGGAACATCACATTCTCAGGTACCTGAAACCCAGCAGATAGATTAGTTGTTGTCCAACAATTACTTCTCCAGGTAAAACTTGTCCTCAGTGTTGACGAGACAAAGCTATTTCAATGATGTTCCCTCTTGAAGTGCCTTGTGATTTTTATCTAGAAAGGCACTTTACTAGGTTACTATGGTAAACCCCGTTCAGCTGCCGGAGAGTCCCTCACTAACCCAAGGTGAGTTGTATGTGTATTATTATTTGTATGTAGTATGTGTGTATTATTATTTGTGAGTATTATTGTTCTATGTATATTATAGTATGTGTGTATTATTTGTATTATTGTTCTATGTATATTATAGTATGTGTAATATTATTGTGTGTATTATTATTCTATGTGTACTCTAATTGTGTTAGATTAAATCAACTCCAGGAGGAGCAGCTGTGTAAGTAAATAAATGAACACAGAGGTCCATCTGCTTGGAAATGAACAGCTACATGTTCGACATTTTCCACACCTTAATGCCTTCTTTAGGGTCTTCACGAATGCTGAGAGCAGGTTTATCTTTAGATGAACACAGCAAGTCCAGTATTTCTTCATTATAAATCTACGACCAGAAAGAAAAAAATTAGGAGCCCCTGTGTAACAAACTGAAAAGACTTCAGGAAGAACTGAAAACATGTCCACTGACCTCCAGGTAAGACACAGCAAGACAGATTTCAGAGTTTTTTTTCTTCTCCTTTTCTTCAAAGATCCTGCTGATAACTCGGGGAATAACTCCGACTGAAGGGTCGTTCTCCTGAGCTGATGTGTATGTTCCTCCCATTGAGTAGGTCTTTCCTGACCCGGTTTGTCCATACGCGAGAACTGTGGCATGGTAACCTAACGAGGTTTAGCAGAGAGGGACGCAATCAAAGGAAACCAAATGTGTGTTTCATAAATAAAACTGTCACAAAATGCTGCAAAACACAAACTTCTTTTAGCAGATCTACCTGTGAAAAGCCCCCTTAGTAGGGGCGACACAGCTGTATTAAAAACCTCCTCTTGCTCAGCAGTGGGATCAAACACATAATCATAGGTGAAGGCTTTCTCTGTGCCAACGATCACCTGATGGAGGAAAAAAGGCACGATATAGAAAGAAAATAGAAACTAGTCCAACAAATACATGTAACCCGCCCACCCCAATAGAACCTGTGGATCCCCCGGCACAAACGTGAGGCAGCACTGGCATCCTTCGTTGACCTCTTTCGGCACGAGCGGACGACATCGTAGAGCGACCCGCACCGGGATCACCTTCCCATCCTCGTTTGCCATGTTGTAAAATTCCAATTGATCCCTAATAAATCACAATACTTAAAGTCAAGCACCTCAACTTAAAAACAAAAGATAATTTGTTATTGAAAATGTTAAGCAATAACAAAAAAAAACATTGTACTGCATTTGGCAACAAAGCACATTATTACTTTTTTGTTTTATACAATTAAAGCATCCTTTTTATAGCAATGCAACTTCCCCTTACCTCAATAAATGAATGAATACATTAATAAAATGTTCAAAGTTAATCAAATCGATAAAATACTATTAGATATGAATTTTAAGGGCCGACACCGATATTTGCCGATACAGATTCACGCTTCTGAAATCAGCTAATTTTGTATAGACTGAAATTATGCAAGCTGAATTTTTGAATGTTTTGCTTCGTTTCTATAAAGTGCAATTTGCAATATCTTATATACACACACCACACACATTTACGTTTCTGAGACTATTACCATTACTGTCACAGCACTAAACAATTACACATCATCATCATCATCCCCCCCCGAAACAGATACACAAACGGAAACAAGATGGAAAAAATTTTGGTTGTCAACATCGGCCCAGTTTTACTTATCAGACCAATAACGATATGCTCAGAATTGACCAACAACGGCCAATACCGATATTGGCACAGATATATCGTGCACCCCTAAATAATATGTCAGGACGTTGATGCAATCTGGTCATTATGGTGTTTGAAACACTGAAACAACCAACAACTGTTACTGAGCGTGTATTAATGATGCACTATGCAGTCTATGTAAACACTACAGGGAGTGCAGAATTATTAGGCAAATGAGCATTTTGTCCACATCATCCTCTTCATGCAGGTTGTCTTACTCCAAGCTGTATAGGCTCGAAATCCTACTACCAATTAAGCATATTAGGTGATGTGCATCTCTATAATGAGAAGGGGTGTGGTCTAATGACATCAACACCCTATATCAGGTGTGCATAATTATTAGGCAACTTCCTTTCCTTTGGCAAAATGGGTGAAAAGAAGAACTTGACAGGCTCAGAAAAGTCAAAAATAGTGAGATATCTTGCAGAGGGATGCCGCAGTCTTAAAACAGCAAAGCTTCTGAAGCGTGATCATCGAACAATCAAGCGTTTCATTCGAAATAGTCAACAGGGTCGCAAGAAGCGTGTGGACAAACCAAGGCGCAAAATAACTGCCCATGAACTGAGAAAAGTCAAGCGTGCAGCTGCCAAGATGCCACTTGCCACCAGTTTGGCCATATTTCAGAGCTGCAACATCACTGGAGTGCACAAGTGTGCAATAAGAAAAGAGACATGGCCAAGGTAAGAAAGGCTGAAAGACGACCACCACTGAACAAGACACACGAGCTGAAACGTCAAGACTGGGCCAAGAAATATCTCAAGACTGATTTTTCTAAGGTTTTATGGACTGATGAAATGAGAGTGAGTCTTGATTGGCCAGATGGATGGGCCCGTGGCTGGATTGGTAAAGGGCAGAGAGCTCCAGTCCGACTCAGACGCCAGCAAGGTGGAGGTGGAGTACTGGTTTGGGCTGGTATCATCAAAGATGAGCTTGTGGGGCCTTTTCGGGTTGAGGATGGAGTCGAGCTCAACTCCCAGTCCTACTGCCAGTTTCTGGAAGACACCTTCTTCAAGCAGTGGTACAGGAAGAAGTCTGCATCCTTCAAGAAAACATGATTTTCATGCAGGACAATGCTCCATCACACGCGTCCAAGTACTCCACAGCGTGGCTGGCAAGAAAGGGTATAAAAGAAGAAAAACTAATGACATGGCCTCCTTGTTCACCTGATCTGAACCCCATTGAGAACCTGTGGTCCATCATCAAATGTGAGATTTACAAGGAGGGAAAACAGTACACCTCTCTGAACAACTGTGTCTGGGAGGCTGTGGTTGCTGCTGCACGCAATGTTGATGGTGAACAGATCAAAACACTGACGGAATCCATGGATGGCAGGCTTTTGAGTGTCCTTGTAAAGAAAGGTGGCTATATTTGTCGCTGATGTGTTTTTGTATTGTTTTTGAATGTCAGAAATGTATATTTGGGAATGTGGAGATGTTATACTGGTTTCACTGGTAAAAATAATTGAAATGGGTATATATATTTGTTTTTTGTTAAGTTGCCTAATGATTATGCACAGTAATAGTCACCTGCACACACAGATATCCCCCTAAAATAGCTAAAACTAAAAACAAACTAAAAACGACTTCCAAAAACATTCAGCTTTGATATTAATGAGTTTTTTGGGTTCATTGAGAACATGGTTGTTGTTCAATAATAGAATTATTCCTCAAAAATATAACTTGCGTAATAATTCTGCACTTCCTGTAAGCAGAGATACTCCAAACAAACTCTCATTAGAATTACCTTGAAAAATTGATAACTGGAGCAACTGAAGTCTGCTCAAATGTGTTTTTTCTTTTAGCAAAAATGCCCAAGTTCAATAAAAATCTCAACTACTGTCCCCCAAAAGGTGCGCATTGTGATGATTTGCAACATGTCACATTAACTAAATTCATGTTTGTGTAAATTGTGAACAAGTACATTTTCCAAATGAGACAAACATTTTTGAGTGGGAGTGTTTTCCTCACTATAAGATTATAGTGTTAGTATAACAGATATCGTCTAAAACATAGATGTTACTTCTCTCTTTTAATATTGATTCTGAAAATTAAAAATTTAAAAATGCTCAAACTTCATACAATGGCTGTTTATAGGGTAAAGTCGTATCCTGTTCCTGAAAATGTTATTTGAGTGGTTTATAGAGAAAACCCACTGTCATTTTTATTTAGCAGATCCATTCCATCAATGGTAAAGGTTGACAGAGCATTCCTGGTGTAGGCAGATGTAAACCAAGTTGTACAATGAGATGGTGTAGTAAAGATGTACAGTTTTATGAAGGATAATCTGCTTTTTGTGACTGACTCTTCTACAGAGTAAAATTTCCTGCAAGGTTTAGCTGCTTTAATGTTTAAATAAATATATTTAAACAGATTACGCGTCTACAGATTGTGGAGGCAACACGATCACTTAAACCGAGTCAAGTGTGATGGAGAAGGAAAACACCAGGCAGGACAGTCGGCCCAGAGAACCAGGGTTGGACTTGCTAGCATCAGTCAACATTCATGAAGAAACAGCGCATTTTATAACTGCCATTACATAACGAAAACTGGATCGACCGGGCTGACAGATATACATACAGCAGTTGGAATAAGCTTGACGTCAATCACCTAGCTGTAGCCATTGCTAACAGCACGTAAACGTTAACGTACCTTCAAACTCCAACCAGGGCCAGCTGAGAAACTTCACGAAAACTACGAACAAAACGTCTGTTGGAGCGCGGGTAACAGTAACACGCGACGTAACACCACTCGCATTCAAATGTCGGTAAACCTAACAGCTAACTTCATAAAAGTTTCTCCTTCGCTCGATTAGCAAAACACAAATCAATGAAAATATATTGTTGTTCCTACCCGCCACTTTCAAATATTTAGCCACGCCCTCTTCTTCTTCCGCTCGCAGACAGGGAGCGTCACTGAAGTCCAGAGTTACTGCCATCTAGTGGGCAACAAGCAAAACGGCAATGATCTATTTTTAATTTAAACCCTTCTAAACAATTTAGTTTATTCTTGAGCGTGTAAATTGGAATATTGAAAACATACAATAATGGTGTTAAGTGAAAATAGCTGCTTTTATAAAATGAAGGGAAGTTGCATGATATATCTGAATGAAATGAAATTTCCATCTAAAATAGCGGCTATGTCCTGACTGGAAGGAAAAGATCATTACATTAAGAGCTGGAGCCAAAACAGATGAGTTCAGACAAGTTTGCTGAATGTTCAGGAACAAATGAGTACAGAGAGATATAGCATGGGTAGAGTTGATTATTTCCAACCAAAAAAGATTATTGGACTAGCCCTTCTGTTTAAACCATAGACTGTACATATACTGGACAATTCGATTCCATAGGCTTCAATAACACGTTATCTGTCCATAATGGGAGGTGTCCACCACCGCCATTTTGACCGTGTCACAGGTTCCGTCCAGCCCAGACAATTCCATAAAAGGGAAGAGAGGAGGCGCTGAGGGTGTGGCTGTAAGGCTGGGCTCGAGTGACGACACCCAGGCGAACTAGCTACGAGCTAACCTGAAGCTAACCCTGGCTAACCCAAAGCTAAAGCGGAGGTGGGAGCCGAGCTAACGGATGTAGCCACCTAGTTTCAACCCAACCGGAGCTAACTGGAACACCCATCGACCTGAACCTCACACGGAGTTTAGGTGGAGGTTTTCTGCGCCTGTTCGTGAGAAGTACCTGTATTTAAAAAGTTTTAAATCGGTAAGTTTATAATTTATTTCCGTAATGAATACATTTTGCTTTGAGCAAGTTTTCAGTACAGTTTTTTTCGGCGCTATCACTCCTGAGTCGCACCAGCCATTAAATGTATCATGAAGAAGAGAAAATATATTTAAGTCGTACTTTGGGGGGACATTTTATTATCTTTCTTACAAAATCTGAGACCAAACGTTTCACATTGCAACACAAGCACCGGTAACCATAACAGAATGAACAGCCAGCAGAGGAGAGGATGGCGGTGTTTCAAACCCTCCCGGCCGGCGTGTAGAGCTCATTCCTGGGCTGGAGCCGGCCCTCAGCACCCCGCCACAGGCTCTAACAGATGCTGGCGGTGTTTCATATATTTCCAAAACGTAATACTTGTTTGTATCTTGTACAGCCAACTAGCCTTTATTCTGGACTCAGTACAATTTACCAAAAGTAAAGAGACATTATACAGATGAAGTAAGCACAAGATAACTTACTGGAAGACACGGGATTATCATGAGAACCAGAACAAGAGAGCCTGATAACAGTCATGTGAAAATAACAGTTAAAAAGTATGTATGTATAATAGAAATAAAAATATATTAGAATTAGTGTAACTCACTGTGATCCAAACAATAAATCAGCCATAGCTGATTAGTAAATATGACATGAGGTTTGGGAGTTTTTAAGTTTCATTCTTTTATTACATTTTTTTCTTAGATCTATTAAAAGGTCACCATGGCAGCCTGTGTGTCAACGTCAGCTACACAAAGCAAGTGTAAGTACCAAGTACTTGTCTTGACCACTTCATGTATGGTTTTGTACTTTAAACAGCTAGGCCAAACCTGTTATTTTTTCTCCATAGCCATTTGGATCATTGGAGACAGCTGAGTGAGGCGTGGTGCCCAGAGAGCTGCAGAGACAACCTTGGCCTCCCTGACGTCTGTGTCTCTTGGTTTGGTTGGGGCGGACCATCGACATACATACATGTGCCGACACTGTGCGCCCTGTTTTATAAAATGTAGTGTTAAAAATAAATGTTTTTGCTCAATTACTGGAATTTCTTTGGTTAAGACAAAAGTGAGGAATAATCATTTACAAGTTATTTGTACAACAGGCCCATTTTAAATCCCAACAGTTTCTTAGCAGACAATAGAAATGTGTTCTTTACTAACTTTACTTGGTTTGAAAATCTTACTAAAATAAACTTGAGTGCCGTATTGCAAAACCCAATCATACTTGTTATGTAAACATTAGCTTTGTAGATATTTTTTACAGATATATATTTGTGTGCAACAAAAACCAAACTTAAATAATTTGTCATTCTTTACTGAAAAACAACAAAATACAGGTATACAGAAGTGTGGGAAAATAATGTGAAAGTATTGCACTATAAATGAAGTGAGATGAGATGAAGGTGAGATGAAGGTGGACGCCAGCGGGCTGGACGCCGGACGAAGAAACCTGGAGACGGATCGCTCAGACAGGAAGGGAAGAGCTTCCTCTTACCTTGATGGAATTAAAGTTAGCCGTCGTCTGAACGCCCAACCGTACGGTCTGAGGTCAAAGGTCACAGGAAACACACACCAGTCAGCAGTCATACAGATGCATAAAAATAACTGTAGCCATGGCAACCAGCTGACATGTCCCCACTTTCACCAGCACCTGGTGCCTGCCGGGTCACCTGAATTCCTGTGTGATGTCAGCACGGTCGGCCGTGACTGCGGCCATCAGAGGTGACCTCTGATCAGCTGAATGAACTCACCTTCCAGGGTGACGCCGTGTTAGAGTCGGCTTCATCCTGTAAACAAACAAACAAACAAATGAGTGGTAACATAAACACCACGTCTGGTTCTGGTGGAGGCGGAGGACAACACGCACCTTTCCAGGAGCAGAACCCAGATGTTCTTGTTGCTACAAACATAGACGAGCAGAGTTAAACCAGGAAGTGAGAGGGACCAGCTGCTGCAGACAGGTGACGCTCACCTGAGCCGGAACCATAGGAGCCTCCTCAGCCATCAGACCTTCTGACTCCAGTTCAGATGCCACCTTGTTGATGTCCCTCAGGCGGTACTCTTTGTCCTTCAGGTCCTGCAGGACAAAAGCACCTGCTGATTACCTTGTTGCTGTCGGGTTAACAGGTCTGGTGTTAGAACGTGGTGGATAAGAATGTTCTGACGGGCCGAGGGTTCTGAACTCACCCTGCAGGACTGGGCCTGCTCCTTCAGGGCCTGGATGCTGCTGCCGTAAGCCGACAGGTCCGACATCAGGGCCTCGTGCTTCTTCAGGAGAGCCTGTGGAGCAGAACATCAGAACCTTCAGCTCGTCTGACACAAGTGGAGCTTTCTCGCAGCGATGGTCCAATTGGATCCGCCACCGTAAAACAAACCCTGCTCAGTTCACCGCAGACGTAGCTCTGCGGGTGTTTAGTGGAAAAGCGTGAGCCTTCTGCCGGCTGCCATGTGTCATGGCTGCTCTGCAGCGGGAACACACATCACAGCTTGTAAACCGTTTGAAATAAGAGCGACGGGAACACGTTTGTCATCACTTCCTGTGCGAGGCCAGCACTTCTACCCCTAACCCATGAGACGCTCAAACGAGCAACGACGTCTGGTTGACAACCGAAGGAAATGACAAATACAGAAACACTAATTATGAAGGACTGGAAAGAGAGCAAAGAAAAGCGATTGGAGTTTCTCAGGAAGGGACTTCCATACCTCGGCCAAGTCCTCGTCTTTCCCTTAGTCTGGACTTCCAACGATGGGCTCCTTCTCCCTCATCCAGGACTCGGCCTCATTAGCATCCGCAAAGTACTGCTGGGCCTGCAGAGAGTCCTCCAGGTCCTGCCTCCTCTGGGACGCCTTGGCCTTCAGCGTGTCCCAACGTCCATGAAGCTCCCACAGTTTAGTCTTCACTTCCTCACCAGCGAAGTGACCTGGACCCAAAAAAAGTGAGCCAGAACCTGCAGACACCTCAGAAACATGTCAGGACCAGACCTGCTCTACCTTCTTCCACCATGGTCTCTCCTTTCTGGGTGACAGCCTTGATGCGAGGTTCATGACCTGTGATCTCAGCCTGCAGAGCCTGGTGCTTCTTCAGCAGGTTCTGGACACCAATCAGGTCCTTCCCTGAGGACACATGTTAGAGTTCAGCATTATGCAGTAGACAGACCAGTTTAACCCAGGGGTTTCTTTCTTCTACAATCAGCTCTTTAACTGTATTATTTCCTGCTATTTCAGCTGTTAACTTTATTTTTTCTCTAAGTGTTTTTCTCCCCAGAAGAAGCTACAATGACGTTCTGCTGAGCTGTGGTGGCCTCATGGAGGGGGCCATCGGCTAGCACACTGCTGCTAACCACTTAAACATTCTCCCTCTCCTGATAGTAACATTTTACTTTCTTTGATGTTGGATGTGCTACTACTAGTTTACCCGTTTAATTATAGATTCACTAGGATAAATACAATAAAGTTTATCTCTCGCCAAATAGAATATTTACTGTGGCGAGCCCGTGAAGAGGTGTCGGAGAATGCGACAAATTTGTCTGTTAAAAAGTCTGTTATGTACAAAAAACACAATATCATCACACTATTTTGGACCGATACATGACGGTCAGGTCCAGCTTGGGGAGAAAATATGACACGTCTTTCAGGATGGACTTCATCTTTGGTAGCTGGCGAAGCCGGGAAAAGCAGGATCTAACCACCTGGCTAATGTGGGAGTCCATCCGCATCTCTGGGTCCAAAACCACCCCCAGGTTAGTGATGGTTGGCTTCACTAAGCTGCAAAAACAGGGTTGCAGGACAGGACTAACTGCAGTGGGAGAGGGAGGAACAAATATTCCAGTTATAAATATTAAATATTTGAACAAATAAATATTTGTTAAAAGGAAGAAACTGATGATGACTTTAAGATTAGAGGAATGTTCTAGAACGGGTCTGGAACCAACGATGGCCCTTTGGATCAAATTTGGATTAAAAAAATAGCTCATGATTTTATTTATGGATGGAATAAAAATACAGGTTGTAAGCATCTTCTCAGTATCTTCATGTTGCACGACTTTCCACAGCAGAAGGACACAAAAACTGCCAGAATTATGATTAGAAAGATTTACGTTTTAATCTCAGAATCCCAACTTTTCCCAGAATCTTCACATTATTCTATGAATTCAGAGAAAATATACATTTTTCAGAGGTCTCGCTCCCCTGTTGTGGATATTTCTCAAAATTCAACCATTTTTTCTTTTCAAAAGCTTTAGTAAGAGTTTGGACTCTAAACAAGTTTTACTTTGCAGACTGCTTGTCTACACCTTCATCAGATCTGCTCATAATAAAACATTTGGGTTATATTTAATGCCCAGGAAGATGCTCTTCCTGGGCATTAAGTTATCAAAAACAGATAAAAGTATTTTTTACCATAATTTTAACTGCTATCAGCTGATAAAAATAATAAAAAACAGCCTGATCATTAAAGGGGTGTAAGTGAAACCGCGCGGATCACACAAACCATCATGCTGTCTATATGACTTTGAAAATATATAGTTTAATTACAGTTTGATTTATTTGACATCTGTATAATGTTTATTATTTTGTTTTTTCCCCCTAAATGCCTAACGTTTTAGTTTTACATGAATATTAGTCATTCATCACAATACATAAAGTTACACATTTTAAATTTTAATAGGGGAAGACTGCAGGAGGGAGCGGTAAAATACAGAAATCCCCATCAAAAACAAGAAACTTTACGAGTCTGATGAAACCCGCTGGAGTTCCTTCAGCAGGCCTGGTGGCAGCTACAACGACCCAGTGGCTGTGCTTGGTCAATGTTATCGAGCTCAGTCCGGCTCGGCCGTGAACGAGCCGAGGCGACATCCTGCTCTGCTTAAGAAGAAGTGTTATTTTCCGCTTCAGAAGAAGCGTCCGTGTTTTACGCTTTCTCAGAGACATGTCACGTTGCTAAGTTGCGCCGCACGCTAACACGTCAATAGTGCAGCATAGCCTGCTCGAGGTTTTAAGGGTTCAGATGAAAACACCCTACCACTCAGGCTGCTTACACATCGATATTAAGTTGTCGCTGTTGCGCTCACGCCGTAATACGGTAGATGCGGTTAAAGTCAGACATGAAAAACTCCACGAGCGGTCAGACCGCGCAGCAGCTAGGCGCAGCAAGTAGGCGCCGGATCGGTCAGGCTGCCCGGCCTGACCGCTGGGGATTACCGGATGGAAGAATGGACACAGAAGTCTCCCTCTTAGCGCTCCGTCATATTTCAACCCATTTTTATCTTAAATGCACTGGGTTTTACCCTATTACCCATCTAAATATGCCCTATTAATTATTTTACCGTATTTTACATTTAAATTTCATGGTTAAACAGTACATGCTACATGTTAAACTGATAGTTAGCTAGCTACTTCGGTAAACTCAGCTAGTTTAAAGGTGGCAGTGACATAAAATACGAATATAGATTTTAACTTACCGAAAAAAATGAAGTGGAGACTCCTTGGACGCTCTATTAGTGCAATTAATACCACTGCAAGTCATTTTGTCCAACAATTGCACCAATAATATCCAAAGAAGAATACACAAACACAGAGACTCAAAATGCCGGAGCAGTTTCCAAGCCAGATCGAGGCTGTACTGAGGCCTTTCCACGGAGCTAGCTCTGTGGTCACGTGGGTCTGAGGCGGCGGTCACGTGTGTCGGATGCTCATTAATTATACAGAATTTTAGGCTTTCAATACACTTAAACAGAAGAGTGAGAAAAAAATTCACCCCCCTCAGAGTTGTCATGAGTATAAACTAGATAATTTAGACAAAAAACATGTTTTGGCACCAGGCTGTAAACATGTTTATTTCTGCTGTGAAATCGGCATTTTTAACATGGGAGTCAATGAGGATTTGCTCGCTTCTGGCACCAGCCCCCAGCGGATGAGGGTGGAACTGCAATTTTTCTTACTTCCGGGATGGGACCATTTTTAGAGCGGCATTGTGGGGGCTTGGTTTAAACACAGATGCTGCTGGCTCTGCAGTGAAAAGCCAAGTGAAACTTTACAAATACATCCGAATGAGCCATGAGACACACACTGACACCAGACATGTCTTATGTCACAGTAATTGTTGCCATTTATTGATTATTTATGACCCACTGAGCAGCTCTTATAGGTATAAGGCTGTGAGGGGGCTGGGAGGTGGTGGTTGACAGTATTCCTCCGAGGAATTTTCAAGTTATTTATTTCAGTGATAATTGCTCTCAGCTCACCCCGCTGAAATTGCTGTATACTGTATATGCCATCTTAGTCTTGTTACTTGTGCACACACTTGAGCTGCAGCTGGGAGAGGAGGAAGTACAGTCCGCTTCAACCTTTTCCCGCTGTAGCTTCAAAAGCTGATCTTTATAGGGTGAGTTACATTTATATTTTTAAGTAATCAGAGAGCAATATTATTAATTTGATGAGTCATGTGTTTTCCTTTTAGTGCACAGATGTCAACTCATGTCCTCGAGGGCCACTATCCCACGTGTTTAAGTGTTTTCCCTGTTTTAACACACCTGATTTAAATCAGCAGTTGATCAAGAGGCTTCTGGAGAGTTTAATGAGCTGCTGCACCAGTGAATCAACTGTGTTGGAAAAGGGAAACAACAAAAATACACAAGATACTGGCCAACAAGGACTGGAGTTTGACACCCCTGTTTTAGTGGGAAAGATGTGTTTTTCTGCAATAAGCTATTTTAGGAGGTTAGAAATTTGTTCTTGGTCATACTTTTCTTTTTCCAAACATCACATGTTAAATTAAACTCCCCTCTGTTTCATTCCAACTCAAAGTTCAGTCTCCTCAATAATCAGAAATATGATCCCGGACGAGCCCCCATTTACACATTTACAAGTTTACACATCTGGGTCAGTACAGTCATCTCCTACGGGCAAAGTAGTGTTCACGTGCGGTTCCAAAGGACTTCTCAGGAATGTGGAAATCCCAGAGCACATCGAAAAGTGGGCAGGAAAGTCTGCGGTGTCCTTAATGAGATAAGCAAAGGTGGCCGTCAGCTGTGTTGCTCTTGGAGACTCTGAACCACATTATCTCATCAATTTACTCCCTTTTTTCTCACTGCTGTGTGTGTCCTCAAATTCTGCTCACACACACACACACACACACACACACACACACACACACACACACACACACACACACACACACACACACACACACACACACACACACACACACACACACACGCTCGCTGCTCTCTCCTCCCATTGAGCATCTGGGGTGATGCTGGGGTGAGAGCTCCTTACAGAGATGTTCGCTGAGAACACACATTCGTCTCTTTTTCTTTACCCACTGAGCTCGAGCTTCGTGCTACAGACAGAAATGTTTATTTAAAAGCATCCAGTTTGAAAATGAATCGCAAAATCCCTGCTGGCTGATTTTACTCACCCATCGGAGGTGGTAGGCGTGAATTTCAGCCGGTCAATCAGTGAGTAGTGTCATTTCAGTCCCAGCTTGACCTCCAAGGAAAAGGTCTGGAAAAAAAGAGTCACTTCGGAATGTAAAACGCATATCTGACCCAGGTGTGAAACCAAATTTCTGTCCAAACCGACCCAAATGTGTAAGTGCCATTATATAACTCAGCTCATGGGACCTCAACATAAACTTCTCTCTCTAAAACATGAATAGTCTTTTTTTGTTGTTGTGGTCCCATGAGCAGGTGTTCTGGCATAGCACCATGCACATCAGAGCAGTTCACGAGCAGTTTAGGCACATGTGTGCACATGCACATTCATCTAAGTCTCCACTATGTTCTGAGGACCTGTCAGTTCAGCATAAAGATGGAAAAGTTATACTGTTATTAAAAACAAAGTGTATGATTTTCTGACTGGTAAAATAAGCACATTGAGGTGTCATACAGTTGCTGAAGTATTGTTTGTTGTCACACACACTGGTGTGTGTTGAAATTTGTTCTTCACATTTGACCCATCCCCATGGGGGACCAGTGAGCTACAAACACGTCACCACTTGGGAACTATTTGGTGGGTGTCATGCGGTTGCTAAAACAATGGTAAAACAAAGTGTATGATGAGTTCATGGGTAAAATGGCCCATCAGGGTGTCATACGGTTGCTAAAACAGTGTATGATGATCTGCCTGGTAAAGCTGCCCATCAGGGTATCACACACTAAACATAGTGTATGACGATCTGATCAACGTGTCATACAGCTTAAAAATTGTATGATCATCTGACAGTGGATTCTGCTGTCAGACAGGTAATAGGTCAGACTCAAGACCGGACTATAATATGGGCAAACTGGGCACAGGCCCAGGGGCCCACAGCCACAAGAGGGCCCACGCAAGCAGC